AGAATTGATATGTACCCACTCTGTGTTGATCAATCATCAGCCTGGATTTAAAACTTGCATCTCAAAGGCGAATTGATGACGAGTCAATTTTTGATACTCAAGATTCAAAAAATCTGAAATACCCAAAAATTTTCATGAACGTGTTAATTCTGAATTTTCTGGAGAAAATAAGAAAGCGGCTCGACGCTGAAAAAAATTCGGGAATCATCTGCTTCGAGTAGCTATTTTGCAATATTAAAAACTGAAATTCTTACGGATTAAATCAATTCCTGAAAGCTTAGATTTTTTTCAGGAAGCAGAAAATAATATTTGAATCGGCCTTGCTTACCACATTTAAGCAAAAAGTCAAATGAAAAGATTGAGTATTATAGCTCTCTCATCGACTTGAAATCAATTCCTGGAGTCGAAAAAATATCGAAGTTCAATGTTCAAAATATAACCCACAGTAAAAATTGTGAAATCCAATTTAACTTCAAAAATAAGCAACTTGTATTTGATGACTCGTCGAATCTGGATAAAAATCAGCAGCTAAATTTTCATTAATGCTTGATTAAATCACTTGTTCGAGTAAATAATTCCCTAAAATCACGTTATTCGATCATTGGCAACTCTTTTCATTATATGCCTCCAACAATAATATGAAAAATAGAGAGAGAGCGCACGAGAAAAACTGTCTCTCTTATTTGAACTCTGTAAAATTCCCCATTGATAAAATCAAAAAAGTCGGAAATTTTTCAACTTCCGTGTAGGAAAAAATTACTGGTAAATCATCTGTGGCTTGGTCACGGTTTCCATTCAGAAATTCAAGAAAATCGCTTTAATGTGTTCACGGGTTAGATTTTTATGATTTAAAGCCATCGTTTTGGTCTCAAAAAAACGGAAAATCATAAAATGATGTGTGGAAATTTTTAAACCTCTTCAAACCCGCTTTACCTTGATATTTAACACTGATCTCGAAAATTGCGTGAATCCGCCTTCGAGGCAATTCACCTTTTTAGTGACTTGTATTCCCATTGCCGCGAGTACTTTTGAATTATTGCAAGAAAAAATTAAGGTCATATAGTATAGATTTCTTTATAAACGTGAGGTTAATCGAGGTTTGTTGAGATGAATTTTACTTTTTTCGAGAGAAACTTGACATAGAGCAGATTGCACTTTTTTCAAGGATAATGAAACTCGTGATTTCCTCGCATGAATAATTTTAATCCCCTGGTCGGGAAGAATTAGCAGCGTTCTGGGAATTTTTTGAAAATATACACTTTATACAGTACTTGAAAAAAAAGGTCCAGAAAAATGAACCATAAAATTAATTTGTTCATTTTCAGGCTCATCTAGTTCATCGTGGAATTCTTCTGCGTACTTCGTTTTCAGACTGAAAATACAGTCAAACGTTGAAACATTTTTTATTGCAGAGGATGAATGTTTCCAAAATTGAATCCCTCTCGGAAAATTTAATTTTTTCCATAAAATAACTGTCTTTTCCCCTTTTACCAAATTTCAGTGAAAATTCTTGTTAACAAACCGTTCCTGAAAGGCGCGATTATTTCTTCCCAAACCGTTTGTTGGAGACTTGAGTAAATCTTGAACGCAAGTTCAAATTTTTTAATTGTTGAAATCGCGTATTAAAATCGTGATGAAATTTTGCAGGATGATCGAGGTGGATAGGAGCAATTAAAAAATATTGAAAACTCTTCACATGATTTTAAAATTACACACCTCCCGAAGTCATTTTTTGACGTCTTATAGACGTTGTTTGAAAATTAAGTGAATTTCACTCGTTAATTCGAAAAAGTGGGACTGCTGAAATGTACTTTGTAACACTATTTCTATATACAATAATATTGTATTTTCCATTTAAATTTTTTTCAAGAGATCAGTCTGAAGACCACGATTTCTCTGTAATGAATTAAAGTAATTTATACAGGAAACACGTATTCAACAGCATTTTTCTCACGCAGTTTACCGTCATCTGCGTAGGATCAAAATACTAGATAGCATCTTAATATTCTAACTGCTGTCTAACTGCAAATTTTATATTCATTCTATACTTGTCTGGCAACCCATCAATGGATCAGATTCATCAACTTCTCTATTATAACTCGAAGCAAGATATCAAGAAATGTGCCAATCTAGTATCTTGAAATTGCGCAAGTAGCACATCACTTCTCCAGAAGTCCAGATGATTTTCGTTCGATTTGCTTTCGATTCATCATTTTTTTCCCTTTGCTCGATTTGATTTTTTAAACCGTGAATTTTCCAAGAGGACCCTACGTTTACCCGAAGAACGTCGAAATAGACTTAAGCAATGCGTTAAAAAAAACTTGACTATACGATAATTTAAAAAGCCCGCAAGCGTATTTTAGTTCATCTTCCCCTGCCAAGCTATAATTTCAAATTTGAGACCAATTTAATCGCGGTACGCGCAGGTAATTTTTAATGATTGTTAGAAAAAAAAACTACCGTAAAGAAACAGATTAATATAATCGACGTCCAGATTCGACCTTTAACAGTTTTATCCTCGTTTTTGTTTTTGTTTTACCTCGATTACGAAGTTCGCGAAATTTCGACCATGACGGACTTACCTGCAGCGACACCTGGTGGTCATGGGCTGGAAAAAATTCACATGACAGAAAGAGCAGCTATGATTGCAGAAAATCCGGACGGTGATGTTTACAAAAATGAGAGAGACTTGAAAAGTGTTCTTTTTAAACAAGAGCAGGTTTGTGAATCAATTCCGGATTTTTTTGAAATATGTGGTTCGAAGTGGGGACTGAAATTTGCAGTTTTTTGCGTGTATAGATGGCTGATGAAATCGCTCAGAAAACAGCCATGGTTTCGGATCCAGATCCGTTGGAATCCCTGAAAGATGAATACAGCGTAAAGGACAAGCGGATCCGGACGAGGATCAACGAATTATCGGTGAGTTTGATGTTTATCATGACATGACTGATGAAAAATCAATTGGAAAATCACTACCACTATACATGACCAGATTGATGAATCCAAGTTTATTTTCTGGTCATTTCAAGGACTAAATTTTCCAACGAGACACCGAAGAAGAAGTCTAATTTATGTACTCCAAACAGTTGAATGTTCGCAAATGTTTTCACGTCAGATAGTTTTTCCAAATATATCTTTTAAAATACTCCGAAAATACTGTACATCCTCGACTGAAAAAGTGGTATTTTTCCATCGTCAAAGGAATGAAAAATATAATGAACCTGATTTTTTCCGACCGAATTAGTGTTCGTGACATTTTTTAAATGAGATGCTTTTTCCGGCTATTAATATGCATGGGAAAGGAGGTCATGACAATCTCGCAATATGATATTGTAACAACTTTCCTTGATGAATTGCTCTTATGCTGAGGTCACATATTTCACTTTCAGAAAATCACGAACTCGGAAACAGGACATGAAAATTCCGCAACTGAATGAGAATCAAGGACAGAGGACCATCGCGTTTAAAATTTTTATTGGTCTGGTTTTATAGCTTGGTAAAGTTGTGAATTTGAAGATAAATTCGTAATTATGTTGCGAAAAACACAGTATTTGTCCGTGAATGCATTGACAAAAAACAAACTACAATGGGACTCGTACGTACAGCCGATTCAACTTAAGGACACTTGTAACTTTGAAAAAGTAAGCCCAACATCCAGACAATGTCTATAAAGATGCGAACACTTTCCCAACGTTTCTATAGGAAAAATTCCCGTATTTTAAATTTTGATTATATCTTGAACAAATTGAGCTATTTATATTCACAAGAATTATAAATAAATCATCACCATAAACAACGGGCTAATTGTGTGCTTACTTTTCCAAAGGTTTTTTTTTATTTCATAATGTGTGGACGGTATAGCTATATATAGAGTTGTTAATTTTCTTGAGCTCCTACTGATGTCAAAAGACCATATTCTGTTTGGTTTTCTTGTTCACAATTATTTTCTGCATTTTGAAGTTGAGAAAAACATTTTTATTCAAATTTTGAGGGACTTTCTTTCTGAATTTTGACGAATAACTGCAGGAGAACCGATTGAATATTGTTCCCATATTTAAGTCTGAAATGGGAGAT